ATTTCTTCTATATTATATTGTTTAAATATTGTAACCCCATTTTAGACAAACATATTTTAAAGACAGCTTTGAGGCAGATTCTTTTCAAAAATAGGAATTTTAGCTTTAAGCTTAATATCCTCCTGTATCTCCAGATTGAATCGAATAAAAAAGCATTAAGAACAAGAATAGATGACATATTTTTTAGCCATGACTGCAAAGCAGCTTCTCATCTCAATCGCCAGGAAGATAAAATTGAATCCTGTTTTAGGTTGCGCTTGTTAAAGTACAATTTTGTAGTCAGAAAAATTCCTCCAAGCTATCCTCCCGACTACAGAAAGAAGCAGAACAAGCAATAAAAAGGCGATATTGGCAGAAATAAATAAATTGTTCTTCTTCGCAAAAAAATAAGGGCTGGTGTAGAAAAATAAAAAGAACCTCTACTAATTAAAGGGTATATCTTAGGCGAGTTTGATTTAATTTCGTACGTTATTACTTTTGTTGCTCATTGCTGTTGTTGTTGCTGTTGTTGCTGCAGTCGCAGTTTCACCAATGTTGGCAATTAATATTATTGCATGTTGCAAAAGTGTTGGGCCAGTTGAATGTCTGTGTGTGTGGGTATGTCGGAGTGTATGTGCGTATGTGTGTGTGACCGTGTGTAATGAAATTAAACACAACAAGCGTCAAAACAAATTCTAAACAATTTTACAGAAACTGCATGAAAAGCAAAAAAAAAGACACGAGTGTTGACTAATTTTGCTTAACAATTTTACTTGCACTCGCAACGAGTTGGAGTCGTAGTTTTTTTTTTTTTATTATTGCAGGACACGACAGAAGGAATCCTTAGCCATTTCGTGCCTTGTCCTGTTCGCTATCCCTGACCAGTTTCGATTTATTTCCCATCGAACCACAAATAACGCAAATTGGCATCATATTTTAAGCAAATTGCATCCAAGATTTATGGTAATTGTGCGCCATCCCAGTCAGCCAATGGCCCCTCCTCCTGCTGCTGCATTCGCAGCAATCGCACCACCCGCCACGCCCCGCGACCTACCAACAACCCCACCAAAAACCAGCAATAACCGCAAAACGGGTTTGCCTCGTTGCCTTCATTGTTGCTGTTGTGCATACGCGGCGGCAACTGCTGCTGCTGCTTCTTTCGCTTCTTCCGCTGCTGCTGCTGCTGCCACTTCAAGTTGCCGCCGAAAAAACCAAATTTGCAATTTATTTTTGCCAATTAACCTCGTGACTCTTATAAAACGTGGCATAAATTTTGCATTTACGAACGTAGGAAAAATGCACAGTACGGCCAAGAGGTTATATACAGTTCGTCACGCTAAGAAACGCGAAGCAAAACTACATTGGACAGCTGACTAGAGAATTTGATAAGATATGATGGGATGAAATATGTCGCAAACACGTTAGCTACTAGTATCAAGAGACTGCAGCAAACAGAAATGCAGTCTTGCTTATAAATTTGATAAATTTCGAAAATCGATATCTTTAATACGCTCATGGCAAAGTTCATAATAGCTGTAAGTAGCATGTTACCAAGAAGATAGCCTAAGTCAATACTTCTTTGCAAATTCTTAAGACACACGTAAGATAAGTAAAAAATTTTAATTCTAAAGAATCTACGAAGTACAATGCTAATACAGTAGGACGAAGCTACAATGAGAACTAATTTGGGGCATTATGAATACTTAATTGCAGATACCAAAGAGTTAACATTAGAAAAAATGTACATGCCGACTGGTTAACAGATATGTTAATTCTACAGAATATGATAGATATGAAATATCCTTGCTATGCTGAATTTTAACGCTGCCAGAAGATAATAAACTATGGTAAACAATTCAATACTCCATTGTAAATTCCCATTGTACACATAGAGTAAGCAAGATTGTAATAAATGTAAATGCAGATTGGCTTATAAATTTACTAATTCTGACACGTACTTAACATATGTGGTTCATGTTCATAGCAAAGTTCATGGCAGCTATAGGATTACTAGACAAATTGGTGTCATTCCAACTTGAAAGAAGAGCATCTAACCCCAAACTGAGTTACATTTACAGCATTAGTTAATATTATAAAATATGAGTTTACTTACTTGAGCGCCCGTCAGCGTGGCCATATCAAGAATAATGTTTGCCTTAAGATCCTTGTTGGCAAAGCAAACGCCATCGGCGAGCACCAAACGACCTTCAGCATCCGTATTGTTGATTTCCACAGTACGACCCGAGTACAAGGTGTGTATATCGTCGGGTCTGCGTGAATAATACAATGAAAGGATTAGTTAGGGCAATAATTGATAACACGCCCGCTTACCGCGTAGCATTTGGACCCACAGAGTTTTCGGCCAAACAAAAGACGGCATGCAAGTTATCCCTGAAACCGCACTTGACGGCCGCATAGAAGGCACCGAGAATAGCTGCTGCACCACCGCAATCCCGTTTCATGCCCGGCATAGCCGTTTTGCCCTTAATGCTCAGGCCGCCGGTATCGTAGACAATGCCCTTGCCGACCAGCGCAATAGTTTCTTGTGCACCCTTGGGCTCATGCGAGAGCACGACAAGAGCTGGCGGCACAGCCGCCGCCTTGCCCACGCCATAGATGCCGCCAAAGCCGCGCTCTTGCAGCTCTTCGCCGCGTATGATTTGCGGCTGCAGACAAAGCTCTTTGGCAAACTCGTTGACATTTTGAATAAAGTGATCCACATTCATCTCGTTGCAGGGCGTGTCCACAATGCGTGCGGCGAGGCGTATACCACGTGCCGTCTCGTGCAGGCACTTGAGCTCATCCTGGCTGAGAGGCTCCTCCTGTACGCAACCATCTTTGTCAATGACAACAAACTCAACGTTGACCACAGAGCGCGCCGATTGCCCGTCGCCTCCGTCTATTTCAGGCGACCTGGCACCGTTGCCGTTGCCCGTTTTGCGGGAGTAGAGTGGAAAGGCACGAACCACAGCACAGGCGCTGGCAAAGATGTTCTCACGCTCGCAAACTAACACAACGCTCTCCTCATTCACATTGAGCACATGGTTCTTCACCAGGCGCGTTATGGAGTGCGCCCGCGAGGCGGTGTTGTGTCGCGACGCCTTCAAGGGCAACGCAGCCACTGTGGCTACATCCAGATAAAGCGAACACTTGTCCGTTGGCGCCGGATGCAGGCAGGCGATGGCATTCTTGAATGTCTCCTCACTGACACGCGGCTCCAATTTGCTGGCAAGCTGGCCAAACTTGAGCAGGTTCAGATGACGCAGCTGGCCAATTATCAGCACCGGCTGCTGCTGCGGATCCGTGCGTGTAAGGGACGCATTAAACTTGATGTCCGTGGCCATCTGCAAGGTGTGTAGAAATGGATTAACGCTTAGTTCACAAGCATTTTAGCGCGCCACCACCTTAACACTCTTAATCATTGATTTAGTACTATTTATGACACTCCAGATTGGCACAAATAAACGACTTTGTACTGTAAACTTGTGCACATGACACAGTTTGATTGAAATAGCTGATTTGACTCCGGTTCTAATCATTACCATGTGCGTAGTGAAAAAATCAGTTTGTGGGGTTTACAGGCCACAATAATAAATTGACAAAATTCATGTTTATAGAAATTTCTCAGGTTTTTATAGATCTTCCATAAAATAAAGCATACTGCATACGGAAAAAACTTATTGCTAAATGAACAGACCTAATTTCCCATTCTAACGATTTTTATTTACTGCAAGTCCTTCTAATTCATAAATATTAATCAATACAATAATAAATTTCCCAAAAAAAATCTATAAAATTGAAATTTTTTGTTTTTTTCTTTAATATATTTTTATTTTTTACAAGTTTTATTATATGGTTTCGATAAGACCTCAACGACCTCATCACTATCGTGTTTTACTTAAGCGTAGATGTTTTTTTTAAGGGTATGCGGTCGTCGTCATTTTATAGACTTGCCAAAAACGCGTTCTTCATAAAAAACAATATGAATAAAAAATATCAAATATATTGGAATTCATAATACCTCCCAACGCACTCTATTAGTCATAACAATAAACATTTTCTAATCTATAAATAAAAAATAACAATGCATAAAAACAGTGTCTGCAATTGCGAGCTGGGCAATAAAACGAAATATAATAACAATTTCGACTTGACAGCTGCCGAATATGGCACAGCCTGATAAGCGTCCAGTTCACATCATTTCCGACGTCATCAATGCTATAGCGCAATGACATCGCAATCATCGTGACCTTGTGTGAAAAATACGGAGACCAACAAGTGGATCTGCGGCTATCTAAACGAATGTCTCCAAACGAAACGTCTCCAATTTAACAAAGGCGAACAGCAATGTATGTGTGCATATATTTGTGCAATCAAAGAGTTGAGACAGCAACAAAGACGTTTTGTGCAAATGTCTTATCTATTTTTAGAATCCAAAAATCAAGCGCTTTGTTCGCAAAAAAAAAAAATTACGTTCCGCCCCCGTCACCGGCATATGAACATAACCACGCATACATATGTACTTACCGTTCTAACTGGCGTGCTATAACTATAGCTGCGATGGAATATAGTGCGTAACGCCTTTGCGGTGTGCAGTATACGCATTAATATTTCAATTGCAACACCGAACAAATTTCACTCGTCCTAAAAAATTCGCTAATTTTGATGATGCTTTGCTTGCAATTTTTGCCGGCTATCAGCATGCTAGTTATGGCAGAAAAAATTATCGATGTCTCTTGTATACGATAGTTGCGATACATTGCCACATGTGGGTCATGCAAGAACTAAATCCAAAAACAGTCTGGCAACGTAAATGCTATTAAAAGAAATGTCCTATCATTGACTTATAGATTGATTACCACTGAAAACTTAAATTAATTTAAAAGGTGCTAGGCATACTAGACTTAAACTTAATTATTGACAACTTCCAATTTAAGGCAAGTAACAGAAAGGTCAATAACGCTCACCTCTAATTCAAAACAAACAACAGTCTGGCAACTCTAGTTTTGATGGAAGCGTCATTTATAATAGGGCACTGGAAATTTAGCCAAGCGCTTTAATTTAAATTTTAATTTAAACAGCTAATTAAGACGACATGTCTAATCAATTTAACACTCGCAAGCGCCTTATGGCAATGTTATCAAATGAGATGCGGTTGGAGCAAGAGGAGAATGCCATAGCAAAACAGAGCGCCAAATTTCACAGCAAAGTCGGTATGGATGCCTGCAATTAAGAGTTTAAATGTAAACTGAAAATACTCTGATTTTTCGTGCCCAGCAACAACCATGGAAAATATTAAACGACAGCAACGTGAATCGGAAAAATTAAATGCACTATTAAACCAACGACGCGATGAAGTCGAAAAACGCAACGCTCTAAAAAATGCTGTGCGCGTCAAGCTGGCAGAGGAGGAGCAGCATTGTGCTGATATGCAGGCACAGCTGGCCAAAAAGAAACAAGAGCGGGACAAGCTTATAGCCTGGTGAGTGCTGGGAAATATATTTATATATATATATATATATATATATATATATAATAGAACTTAATCTTCTCCAGCGTGCACACTCTGAGTGAAGCTACCAACACGTACATCAATCGAAAGGCTTTGCCCGAACGTGTGAAAGGTGTCGCAGTTTCACCAGATGATGGTCAGTGGATACCCTTTGATTTTGATGCACACGATCGCCAGGGCTTGGCAGCTCTGTGGGCGCAAGTGAATCGATCAAGTCGCAATACCAACAACTGGCGACAACTGCTGTCTGTGGGCAATTCTTCAATGCCAGCTCCAAACGGAAAGGAAAACGCCAACGTCTCAATGACATCTGTAATTGAGATTGACCTTACATCGCCGCCATCCCAAAAATGATTGATTTGTGGCCCAAATGCAAGCAATGGAAGTTTAATCGACAAAACATGCATTATTTTTAGTCGTTTCAATTTATTATCTGTTTATTTGTATTATCTTTAAGAGCGCGTGTTTCATATAATATATGTTTTAATTTTACTGCAAAATATACAAGGCTATCAGTACGCCATTCATCATGCCTGGTTCCCTTTGGATACCCTTTGATTTTGATGGGCACGATCGCGATAAAGAAAAGGAAACGTCAACAACTTAATGACTATAATTGAGATTGATCTTACGTCGCCGCCGTCTGCAAAATGATTGATTTATGGCAGAAATGCAACCAATAGAAATATAATCGACAAAACCTACATTTATTTATTTTCATTGTTTCAATTTATAATCTGTTTGTGTATATTATCTTGAAAAGCGTGCATTTTATATAATATGTTTTAATGTTACTGCTAGACTAGGCTTACTGAACACCATTCTTCATTCCTAGTTCTATTACAAAAACTCTTTATATGATTATTATTGAGCGTGCTAACGTTTTCCAGCCGAGTGGGCCAGTTTTAAGCCCGCCTCAGATTATTATCTGTCAATCACAATTCACAAATGTGTCTCGTGCACTTTGTAGTAAACAAAAGTAACGTATTATTTAGTTTAATTAATTTTATTGAATTGCCTCAATCTGATTGAAAAGTAGATTTTTACTTTCGATTAATTGTCTGTTTAGCAAATTGATTTTTAACTGTTTGTCTAGAAACTTTATTTTTTTCTAAGCAAACAATTGCCTATTTCCGTTTGGTTTTTGAGTTTCTCTAATCATATAATATCGGTCCACAGTTCTGAAGTTCGACATATATACAGATTGTGAAATCGCAATCGCAATCATAATTGCAAAAATGTCTGCGATTTCTAAGTTTAAAACAAATCCAATATATGACATTATCAGGCAAATGTTATTATATAGCTGTGTCGCTGATTCGAATAGATCAGTATTGCCCTGAACTTAAATCGGAACGCGTGCAAAATGTTAACTGCTCTCTTGCTGGTATTGTGCTCGATTATATTTCTATATCTGTCTTATAAATATGCAGTCGGTCGTCCTTCAGGCTTTCCACCCGGTTCGCTAAAGCAGTCCACCCGAAATTCGCGTGTGACTAACTGGCATTTATCCTTGCAGGTCCTCCGCGACTGCCTATTTTTGGAAGCTATCTTTTTATGCTGCTGATCGATTACAAATATCTACACAAGGCTGCCTTAATACTTAGCAAGTGGTACAAATCGGACATTATTGGTCTTTTTGTCGGCAGTTTTCCCGTGGCCGTGGTGCACAGCGGAGAAGGTGTGCGCGAAATATTAAACAATCAGGCCTACGATGGACGACCTCCCCTCTTTCTGAGCAAAATGCGTGATCCCGGCGATTGTGTGCGAGGTGTGTTTCAATACTGGCAAAATAGTATTTACAGAAGACTTTTCGTTTGATAGCCATGATAAATAATCTCCCATAGGATATATATAATGATATTCCCAAAATATTTGATTGATTTCAGCCGATCTCCTTCTATATGAGCCGATTAAGTAAGTTCGATTTCAATTTTTTGCACTGTGGCTCTTTGTTCATATCTTAAATACAATCCTTAAACTTTCATTTCGATCGGATAAATACAAAAGCAACTCAAAATGGAATCTTTCGGAGCTGGCTGCGAGATATCTTGTAGTCGAGCATTCTCCACCAAAGCACTTTCACTATTCGAATAGAAAACTTTATCATTATCTGGACTCTAATAGGTCCCTCTCGACTTGTTGCGGAAGTACTGCTATAGCCAGCCAGCTAGGTGCCGATAAGCATTGGTGGTCTGATATGTATACTAAGTCAGTAAACGCTTGCAACCCGACAGTATAGAGAACAAGTAAAAGTTTAGTCAGGAATGCTTGACTAAAAGATACCCCGTAAGACCTAAGGTGTTTATATGTTATTATATAAATATGGCACCGGAATTTGTGCGAAGCGGTCATGGAGGGGGGAGTGGAACGTATTTTCGTGTTTATGAACTCTATACTCTTTTTAGTCTCATACAAACGTTTGAACGGAGAGGGGCTAGTCTACTTGGCTCTTGATGCTGTCGAAGACTATGTGTATTTTATAGGACATTTGCACCCAATATTATACGGGTTCAGGTTTATATAAAAAAAACAGAAGATTGCAGTAGTTTGATTATAATCGTATATATATTAAAAAAACGTTCATATGTCATTACTAGGCATATTCTTTCAGGAAGGAATACTCTGGAAAGAACAGCGACGCTTTATCTTACGTTATCTGCGTGACTTCGGTTTCGGTCGTCGTTTCGATCAGTTGGAGCTAATCATTAAGGAGGAAATAACCGACATGCTGGACATGATACGCAACGGTCCGCGCTATGAGCACGAGCATCATCTGGTCAAGCCGGGCGGTTATCGGGTGCAGTTGCCATTGCTCTTTAATCCCTTCTCGGCCAATAGTCACTTTCACATTGTCTACAACGAGCGCCTGGCCCGGTCTGAAATGGCCAAGTTAGTGAAGCTTGTTCAGTTGGGCTTACAGTTCCAGCGCAATGCGGACGACTACGGCAGATTGTTGAGCATAATACCCTGGATACGATACATCTGGCCGGAGGCGAGCGGCTATAACAAACTGAATGAGGCCAATTTATATGTACGTGCCTACTTTTCGGAATTCGTGGATCGTCACATCGATAGCTACGATGAATGTAGCGAGCGCAACTTTCTGGATCTCTATATAGCCGAGATGAAAAAGGGCCTGCCCGAAGAATATGGCTTTAATCGGGAGCAATTCATCATGGGCCTCGTCGACTTCTCATTTCCCGCCTTCACGGCAGTTGGTTCCCAATTGTCACTGATTGTCCAGTACATGATGCTCTATCCCGAGGTCGCGAAACGCGTACAACGCGAGATCGATGAAGTGGTGGGCAGCGGACGTTTGCCCACGCTGGAGGATCGCAAGCATATGCCATATACGGAGGCGACAATACGTGAAAATCTACGCATTGAGACATTGGTGCCATCGAATGTGCCACACAAAACACTGAACGACACCGAACTTATGGGCTATCGCATACCTAAAGTGGGTTAATAAGATGGTCTCACGAAATCGCGTTAGTTATCGAACTTCTCTTTCATCTTTTCACAGGGCACTGTTATCATACCCAGTCTGTACGCCTATCACATGGACAAACGCATTTGGTCGGATCCCGAAAAGTTTCGGCCCGAACGCTTTCTGGACAATCAGGGCCAATTGTGTCTCAAGCTGGACGTATCCCTGCCCTTTGGCGCCGGCAAGCGTCTGTGTGCCGGCGAGACCTTTGCACGGAACATGCTCTTCTTGATGACCACAGCCATGCTGCAGAACTTCGACTACACCCTGGCGCCGGGCGACACACTACCAGATCTAAGCAAGAATAACAGTGGCTTAATTATAACTCCCCCAGATTTTTGGGTGCAGCTAAAAGAACGTTAGGTTCTTCTATTTAAAATATATTTGATTTGAAGCATGTTACAAGTTGTGTCTATCTCCCGCACAGTTGCTCTGTTTGTTGTTTTTCTTTCAATTATCTGTTTCGTCTTGATTCGCACCTGGGCTTCAGCTTCATCGTCGCCAGCCATCGGGCGATTTATCTCGATCTGTGGATCAGGAATAGTTCCATCAGCAACAGCCTTTTGTAGATATTGCTCAATGAGTGAATTTTTCAAAATATTTTTCTGGTTCTTACAACTGGTTTCAAATTTCTCGGCGAGCTTATTGAGAACGAGTTTAAGATCGTTCAGGTCCCTCCGATTCTCTCGGGTTCGATGCATTAACTCCGCTAACTGAATATTTAAATTACTTTCCCCAGCGTCGCCCAAGTTTGCGTAGTTTCTGCATGATCATGATCAGGAATATAGCTGTGACTATATTTTTATATTCACAGAGTAAAATAAACGTATTTTGTACTTCTCTAGTTGTGGATAATCTAAGGAATGAATATTAACATTATTTCCAAGTTCAAAACTAGTTTCTGTTTTTACCATATCTACTAGAATAATATCATATCCACGGACGACAATTTTAAAGTTTAAAGATATCAACTTGGGCCGGACAACGCCAGGTAATACCCGTTATATATGTTCACTTTTACCAAAGACAGATAAAGCATACTTCCTTTCTGGTATGTATGCATGTACATATGCCTGCTTGCATGCAGTAATATTCTTATGTATGCATCTATCGATGTATGTATTTTATTTATGAATTTATGTATCATGTGTAAACTTTTGTATGCATGTCCTATGTATGCATGTAAGCATGCATGTATTTATTTTTGCATGTATATATGCATGCATGTAAGTATTTAAGTAGGCATGTATGTTTATATGCAGGCATGATGTATGAATGTATGCATGTATGCATATATGTAGGTATATATGCATGTTTCTATGTATGCGTGGACGAATGTATGTATAAGCGAATGTAAGTTTGTAAGCATGTATACGTGTGTGTGCTATACTTATAAAAATAAAAATTCTTTTAATACCTTATAACTTCCCCTGCTCTATCTCCTCTTTATTTCCACCACCTACTTATACTAGCTACATACATATTTAAATTTGTTTATATTCCTTTATTTAAATAAGAATCTAATAAGTCAGTTCAGACCTGAGAACAGGAGTTCTCCTAATCGATATTCGTAAGAATTTAATTTTTATGATGAACTTTTTGTTTTTAACAACTATGGTTATAATAGCTTGATAAATTTGAATTTTATGGAGGTTTTACGAGTTTTTAATTGCACCACTAAAGCTGATAGGAACTATCGCTCGAATATATTTGTATTATGGCTTATACACTTCGAGTTTGATTAAAATCGGAATAATTAAGCGTATACCCGTCACAGAGTCTAACGGTAATATATTGAAAAAATGTATTCATTTGATATTGATATTTTATTTCGATATTTTAAACAAGTTTTCATTTCCACTTACCCGAATGGGAGGATACTTTAGAGTTTCTAAGCTTATTGCTTTAAATTTATACTGATAGATCATATAATTTATAGATAATTCCATTTCTCATATACTTGTATTGAAGTCTTAATTTATTAGCGCATATTTTACAATTTTGTCCTCAGCTTCGCAATATTTGATCAACCTTAATTTTAAGTTTTACTTAAGGTATAGTTAATTGATAGAAGCGAGCAAATATCTCACTGATTATGCATTATCATTTATTGCTTGAAATTCTAAATGCTAGCTTAATATAATGTAAATTAATATATGCATGCCACGCCTTATTGATTAATACTGCATGTGCCTTAAAAAACTGCAACCGGGTCAGTTTGGTCCAGATTACATGGCGTCAATATATGCACAGGGAATTGTTCACAACGCTTAACATTTACAATTAATATTAAATCTGTGTTAAATAATACAAAAAAAGTTGCTTTTGGGTGCGGGGGAGAAGCGTTCCATTTAGTAATACGCCTGCTTAATGGCCGCGCTGGTTATCAAAAAAGCGGAACCTATCAATACGAACGTGATGATTTTAAGAGCGCTGGGCCTACCGGAAGAATCTGTGGAAATAGAACGTTATTTAAATACTTATTTCACCGAAAACAAAACTGTTTGATTTATGAGATGTAAGATGGTTAGATGAAACTTTGTGAAACTTTCATTTATTATTGGCTAAACGTCAGACTAATTTTCAAAGATCTTTACAATATGTATTTGAGGCGCGTTTCACCCTTTTTGGAGAATTCACCACTCTTGGATGGAAAATGATATTAACAATTTGTACAAGTGAAACCTCTAAGATCTAAGACCATTGCTAAAGAATGCATTTCAACCCACGACAAGAAAAAATCGAAAAATGTTGATTGCACTTTTTGTTTGTTTATCCGATCAATTTGATAATTTCAAATATCTATATGAGTTATATTAAAATTCTCAGGGTTGAGAAAAGGGTAAAAATTCGAAATGTATACATTTTAGAAAAATAAAAAGATATAATAACGAGAAAGAAAGGCTATCTTCGGCACGCCGAAGATCTAATACCCTTTCAGACCCAATCTTTTCATGATGCTTATAGTGCTTTGCTCGTATCTAAGAAGCACAGGGAAAAGAGTTAATGCCGAGTTTGGTCGAGATATCTTGCAAAACAAAATGTTTTTTCATACAACTTAATTTTCGACCGATCGTTCCTATAGCAGCTATATGATATAGTGGTCCGATCTTAATAGGATTTTGCATATATATGAGGATCATAGTAAAACTAATAAATGCCGAGTTTGGTCAAGATATCTTGATAAACAAAATGTTTTTTCATACAAAAACTTAAATTTCGACCGATCGTTCCTATGGCAGCTATATGATATAGTGGTCCGATCTTAATAGGATTTGGCATATATATGCATATATATGTATATATGTTAGTAAAACTAATAAATGTCGAGTTTGGTCAAGATATTTTGATAAACAAAATGTTTTTAGGGACTTCTGCAAAGTTTCATTAAGATAGCTTTAAAACTGAGGGGCTAGTTCGCATAGAAACAGACAGACGGACAGACGGACGGACGGACATGGCTATATCGACTCGGCTGTTGATGCTGATCAAGAATATATATACTTTATGGGGTCGGAGATGTCTCCTTCTATGCGTTACACATTTCACGACAAAATTATAATACCCTCTGCAAGGGTATACAAAAATAGCTTGACCTGCGATATATAATAATATCCGATAGTAAGTATATGTAATTAGTATATATAGTAAATAATATTAATTGGTAGTTGGAATCTTACTCTTTTTGTTGGGCATTACACGTATGCATTGCCTTTGCTCAGTGCTGGCCTGATAACCAAATTTACACTGACAGACGGAGTTGCGGCATTCCACATTCTCAGGATCCTTTTCAACAAAACACTCTGTGGCTTTTGTGCAGGGCTCGTTTAGCACTAAAAAAAAAAAAACAACAACCTTTGTATGAAAAGTCCAATCAATTGCACATTGAAGCTTACGGCGTTTCGTTTCACAAATTCCGTTCTTCTCGTGCTGCTCGTCGGTGCAGCCACATTTGCCTTCCGCATTGCAGCTGGCCAGAAGCGGCTTACACTGCTCATCCTCGACGCATTCATCGTCCAGTTCCACGGCTATAGGCATATAGTTTACAATAGCTATCTGAAGGAACTCTCATGGGACACTTACCTTCCTTGAGGCACTCATCCTTAAAGTGCACATACCCCTTGCGACATTGACAGGAGCGCGTCGGCTCCGAATCTTTGGCTGAGTTGCTAGTGCTGCGCTCCAGGCATGCCGTATTCTCAGCCATGCACTCATCATCCTCTGAGCATTCGGCCCCAATGCCTAATACACAAAATGATATATATACATTTATTTACAGGGTATGTACCAGCTGCCTGAATCTTAACTGACCTGGCACGCAAGCTTCGTTCTTCTCGAAATAGTTGTCGCGACACACACAGAAGCGATTTGAGCAAATGGAATGATCCACAACACAGCCATCGTTTGACTCACACTCGGCACCCAAGCCATCCTTGTACTCACAGAGCTGTGAGATTTCATTGTACTGTGCGTACTCTTCGCACGTGCAGCGTCTGGGTATCTGCGGATGGCAATAGGAGGCTCCATAGGGACTACATTGGCTGTTCGATGTGCAGGATAGGTGATACTGAATGGCTGCCAGAAGTAAGCGTATATTAAATATATATTTTGAATTCTGCCTACTTCACTTCCTACTCACGTTTTCTGCAGTTGCGCAGGTCGCGTTCGTAGAAATAGTTCTTTTGGCATATACAAGTCTTGGACAAATGATCAAACTCATATTCACATTCGTCGCTGCTCTCCGCTATCTCGCCGAGCTCTGCCAAAGGAAACCAATTGCTATACAAATGCGTAAATTTCAATATTTCATGGGTTGCCCTTACCTGCAAAACATTTACCATTCCGCGGATAATAGCCCTGTCTACACAGACAGATCTTATTTGTGCAGATCGAGTGGGCCAGGCCGGTGCATGATTTGCCATTATCCGTGCAGCTACTGCCATCTATTAAATAAATAAAATAATTACATTTTTTATTAACGCACAAATAAGTCGATAATTAATTAAAAACTATAAGACACGGAGCTGTCATCTTTTTGAAAATTATGAAAAAATTAAGCCATAAACACTTTAAATGAATACCTGCAAATAAATTCGTATAAATACTCTCTCATTCTACTCACATTTTTTGTCATCGACATCGTCGTCATCGCGACTCGATCCCAGCGTGGAATATGTTTTAATATCCTCATTATCATAGCGAAAGATGGCGGGTAGACGGCGACGATAGTTCTGGGTATTGGTGGAGGTGTGCCGGCTGCTGGCGCTAGTCGAGGTGGTTGTCGTAGCTGTGGCCACATTTCGAAAACTGCGTCCCAGCTCTTTCAGCTCGTATTTCTCGATGCTCGTCTGGACGGCTATTTCACGGGAATGACGTGGCGTCAACCGGAGCTCA